TGAGTCATCAAAGGTAGAAGCTATGTTTGTAAGCGTATGAGATCCAACTGACAGTGAGAGCGCAGACCTGGGACTGTGCTGGTTCTGATTTTGATTAGAAAAATGATAAAAACTAAATCTACACTAATCCTCCTTTTTCATAACTTTTCTAAAACTAACGATTCTAGCCATAAGCTAAAGTGCCTGTAAACTGAGTTTAATAACATCTAAGACTAGGGCTGCCACGATTAGTCGACGACTAATTGATTATTAAAATAATCGATGACTAATTTAATAATCGATTAATCGTTTTCTTTTTTTTGTTCTTTACTTTGTTTTTCTCTCCAAACTGCTTTGACACCTTTCACTGCCACGTCTGCCTTTCTGTCCTTGACACACATGCACAGTAGTGGTAACTGGGGTAGGTCGTGGACATCACAAGACAATATACAGACAGGCTATGGTATCATGGCTACCTGGAAACGGAGCTGAAAAGTGTGGGATCATCTTAAGAAAATGAAAGAGAAACCTGTGCAATGAAATAGAGCAGAACTGGCCTTCCACAGCAATTATTTTTAGTTAGCATATAGCTAAACTCTAACCATGGTTATATAATAGCAGCTGCATTCTGGCGTGATAAGCTCTATGTTTTATATTCAATTAACGTATGTTCCGATTAGTCGACTAATTGAAAAAAATAATCGGTGATTAATCGATTATTAAAATAATTGTTTGTGGCAGCCCTATCTAAGACTGGTTTACTCTTTTTACTGGTTTACTTTCTAAGTGTTTATATTTACAATACTTCACGTTGGACTTGAGGTGTTAACTGTTAATGTTTTATCTCATAAAGTACTGGTTATTAGCCTTAATTTGTACATAAGTTAGCTACTTTGTTCTGTAAATAAATGTCCTTTATTTTAGAAAATTGAACTGACTGGGATTACAAATTACTGAGTCTGTCTTTTCTCACCTTCATTCTGGGAGGTATTGATCTTTCATAAAAAGAACCTGTGTTTCCTCATTAGTTTGAGAAGTATGTAAAAGAACGCTGGACTTTTCTTACACAGTTGTTTCCCTTCTCTTCAGCAGCTCTTCATGTTCTGTAGAAGCCTTAAAAAACWGATTTAACCAAGAAAATAAAGGATTTGGTTCAAACAGTGGTCTTCTTTTGCCTGCGCTGAAACACAACCCCTCGGCAGTATTGGTTTTTACATCTTTTAAATAATTTGACTCCAAGGGAAATCACCATTGCAAGTCGAATCAGGTATGTCAAAGCAGAGAAAGATGGAGAACATACAGGATGGTGGCCCTGCAGGACCAGAACTGGACACCCATGGTTTAAACAGACTACCAGTACATCGTATTTGTCTGAATGATCCAACAATCATTTCCCATAAAACTACTAAAATTATTCCTTCAAGCACATCCCTTAACATGTACAGCACACTGTCCTTCTAGTTTTGTGTCACAGTAAATAGCTTCACTAGCTTATGGCTAGCTTTACGCCTCTCAGTTGTTTGTTTACATCATGTTACACAGCTCCACGTTTGAAGAAACCCAAACACACCACCAGCTGTAGAGCACGGTGGTGGTGGGTTGATGATTTGGGTTTGTTTTGTAGCTCCAGGACCTGGACACCTTGCAGACCCTCAGTCGATTCTGGGCTCCTCTATGGACCGGAGTCAATGTGAGTCTGTCCGTCTGACAGCTGAAGTTTAGAATGATGATGCAGATTAATAATCCCAAACACAGCAGCACATCCAAGCAGAATGGTTGAGAATGGTGAGCTGAGCCTGACCGTCAGAGAGCTGAGCAGAGACAAG